TTTGCTCTTTCTGGCTCACATTTGATTTAACATCCTTGCATGTATTTTCATCTCATTTTGTGGCAGCTTTTAAAGAAATAAAACAAATTTTTGATTAGTAACCTTGATTTTTTTAAAATCATTTTATCATTTATTTTGATGTTTTGTAAACAAAGTAACACAATTATAAAATCTGCACAAATTCATTACTCTGCCATGGTAGGAGGATATTAACAGTAAATGCTCCAGTAGAGTGAAGAGTCAAGAATCTTTATTGTCATTATGCCTAGCACAACGAAATTTTTTCTGGCAGCTCTCAGCTTAAAAGACATATTATTTACATAACACACAATTGTATAAGTCAATTTAAAAATATGAACAAATAAAAAGGGATGTATGAGACCTAATCAGGTCAGCAGCATGTTAGTAATAATAATATACTTTATCTAATGGATTCAGCTGATCAGTGAGGTAAATGTGTCTGGTGACCTCAATATCTACATTGCCAGCTGTTTTTTTCTGTCTTTGTTTGTTTGTGTTTAGATCCTGATAGGAGAGGCCATTCTGTACTGCTATCTGTCCAGGAGGTCATCGACCACGCAGACTGAGGCCAATATCAATGCTGCTGGCTGTAATTTCAACTCCTACATTCGCAGGGCTGTACGCTTCATAGGTGGGAGCACACATGCATTATACCCACAACTGATGCTATGCAAGCTTTTAGTGGGTGCAACAAACCACAGAAGCAGTGTCAAAACTTTGTCAGAATACTGTACAATGTGTTCTTTTCCACAGGTGTCCATATTTTTGGCCTGTGTGTGACAGCACTGATAACTGACATTCTCCAGCTGTCCACTGGTCAACACACACCTTACTGGCTAGATGTGTGCAAACCAAACTTAACCCACATTAACATGTCCACCTGTGATGAAGCTTTTATTCTGGAGGATATCTGCTCTGGGCAGGACATCGGGCTTATCAATGCTGGGAGGTAAGGCTTTCTGTTACTGAGTCTGGGAGAGTGTGGGAGGATGTGTGTTGAGTTTGTGTTTATGGCATGTTTTTTTATGTATAGTTTTAGCAAACACACAAGCATGATCTATCATTTTCTTGTAGCTCACAGTTCTAGACTTGTTTTCTGCTGTTGTTATGGTTACTGATCTGCTCTCAGTACTGAACATAGAAAATATATTAACTAAATAGTAGAACAGTGTACATCATGCACTACTAAGACCACATTTTTCAACAGTGAGTTTACAGAGGAAAACCTATATTCAGGTTATACTGTAGATATGTTAAAACAAGGATGGCCGATCTCAGTCCTCGAGGCCACTGCCTTATTTGTTTTCCAGCTATCCCTGCCCTACCCACTACTGATTACCTGGATCCTGGTGTCCTCAGTCAACCAGAATCTGGAAGATACCAATTCACTTTGTCTGTCCTCACTCCGCCTTCATCTAAGATGGTATCTTCCAGATTCTGGTTGACTGAACACACCTGATGCAGCTAATCAGCAGTGGGTAGGGCAGGGAAGGGATAGCTGGAAAACAAGCAAGGCAGTAGCTATTGAGGACTAGACTTGTCCACCCCTGTGTTAAAACTTTCCTAATTCTTAAACATAGAGATTAATATAGAGATGTATATTAAGGTTCCCTGGCATTGTGGCTTTAAAGCCAGGAATGTTTGCCACTGCTGGAGTTATGCTGGTAAGATGGGCACTATTTGTACAATAAGACTGAGGCCTTCAGGACCGTTGTTGGCCTAGGACATGACCAGGTGAACATGAGTCCAGGGTGGAGGAAGGATTTTTTTGTAATTCATTTCAGATACAGAATGTACTTTTAAAAGTCACACTGGCCTTGAGTGGGTGCAGTTCATAAGGAAAGTGTTCGCACTAGTCCATTTAAAGACACTACTGGGGTTGATGCTTGTTATCATATTGTTCATAAAAAAATTCTTCTGCCATTTTGTGTGTGTGTGTGTTAATTTGTTTAATTTATCCAGGAACATGAGTAACCTGGTCCTGTATTTCTCATATTTATAATAATGATGATTTTAAGTTAATATTTGTGTAAAATTCCTAAATCTCTGGGAGTAATAGAATAGAATAGACTTTATGAAAAAGATATATGTGGGAGTGGAGGGGGGGGGGCATCGGAATCCATGTTTGATTGAAGTTCTAATGGCCCAGGGGAAGAAGCTGTTTGTGAGTCTGGTGGTATGGGATCTGATTGAGCCGTAGCATCGCCTGGAGGGTAAGAACAAATACAAAAGCAGTCATAGGAAACAACTAAAGCATTAGGGCAGAGAAGCACCAAGCCAATGTGAAAGAGCTAATGGTGACGATGGTCGACCTCTGCATTGCCTCGTGTCGGCTTTGTCTGGACCATTCAGGTTGAAAAAGTGACACCTGAACACAGTGCACAGACTACAGCCAATGGCTGACTAGCATGTACAGTATGTTCTCTGCCTGTGTTGTAGAAATAACTCCCCTTACCAGCAGGTGGTGGTATTTGTGTTCACCATTCAGGAAGGGAAAGAAGAAGCTGCAAATGACACTGTCGTTTTTTGTCCCTGGTCATTTGGGTGTACAGATAAAAGGAGGTTGTGGAGGTGAAAAACAAGGGGAAACTTGGTGTGTTTCTGCCCTTAAAGGAGTCATTGGAGCTGCTAATGTCTGTTCATGGTTCTACTTGTAGTATACACACATCGTGGTGCATGGTTGCATGGAGCATCGCTTCACACCTAAAGGCTGCCAAACAGCCTCTTGACACACTGATGAAACTGACGTTGAATTGTTTGGAAGGAACACACAACACTGTGAATGGTGTTAAAAGGGCACTTCATAACAATATGAGAGCACTGCAACATACACCAGAAGCTGAGTATTGTGAGCATCATGATGTGAGGCTGTTTTGCTGCCCTGTGGGCCTGGAGAGCTGCCATCATGGAGGAGAGCCCACCAGAGATGCTGTGTGATGAGATCAGGGAGCTGGTCTCTCTAGACATCCTAAAATAGGTCTGAGATGAAGCAGCTCTGTAAACCAGAAAACTGAACCTCCATAGGTACATGAAGTATTTGATTGAGGTTGTTGCTGGCAGAAGCTCAACCAGTTATTAAATCCAAGGGTTCATTTACTTTTCCCACCAGCGCTGTGAATGTGGAATTGTTAATTTAGGACCCAAAGATTATTAGCTGTTTGTGTGTTATTAGTGTAAGCACATTGTGATCATTCACACTCACATTCACAACTAGGGGCAATTTAGATTTGCCAGTTCACCTCACCTGCATGTCTTTGGACTGCAAGAAGAAATTAGTGTACCCAGAGGAAACAGCTCTGTGACTCCTCCTCCAAAATAACACTTATCAATAATCAACCAGACATATGCTTGTGATTACTTTGACTATAGCTTAAGAGCTCAGATGACTGTGCATTAGTTACCTAAACTATTACATTGTAGTAAGTGGCTTTGTGGGTTTCCTCATCACATAATTGCATAAATCAGGCACTCTCGTCAATAGGATTTCAGCCAGCATTATCACAAACACTGGCACCCCACAGGGATGTGTCCTCAGTCCCATCCTCTACACCCTGTTCACCCACGACTGTGTCGCCTCCCACAAAGACAACATCATCCTAAAGTTCACGGACGACACCACAGTGATAGGTCGCATCACTGGCGGGGACAAAGCAGCCTACAGGAGGGAGGTGACCAGTCTGGTGTCATGGTGCAAGGACAATAATCTCAGCCTCAACATGGTCAAGATGAAGGAGATGATAGTGGACATGAGGAAGGAGAGGAGATCTCATCAACCACTGTTCATCCTGGAGCTTGAAGTGGAGAAGGTGAGCGGCTTCAAATACTTGGGCGTCCACATCAGTGAGGACCTCACTTGGACACATAACAC